AACAGAACCAGACCTGGTTTTAATGTAGCATGGTCCAGAACAGAACCGGACCTGGTTTTAATGTAGCATGGTCCAGAACAGAACCGGACCTGGTTTTAATGCAGTGGCCCCTGAGGGCCTCGTCCTTTGAGCTCAGAGATTTCTACAGATTATTCTAATCTGTTGAAGAGATTATGAACTGCAGATGATGCAGATTAAAGTCTTTCATTCAGGATCTTTATTCTGAAATTGTTCCTCTAGCGTCAGACACACTGCTGAGCCTCTTCTCATCTTTACTTCTGACAGATTCAGCCTCTCAAAAAAAGTATTTTTCATTCTCAGTCCTCTCACTGACCTGTAACTAATTAACCTTCATAAAATGCAAATTGCTCCTCCAGATGTTTCTTATTTCTACAGACTTTTGTCCCAACTCTTTTGAGATGTGTTTTGCTACAAATTAAAAAAAAAAAGTTTTTTTCCCCAACATTTCAAACATCTATTTTCTATTGTGGGAAAAAAATGTGGATTTATGAGACCTGCAGAGCCCTGTGATGGACTTGTGACCTGTCCAGGGTGTCCCCCGCCTCTCGCACAGTGACTGCTGGATATGAGCGGCAGTGACCCCCTGACCCAGAAAAGAAGTAGCAGGTAAAAGATAATGGATGGATGGCTGGATGGATGAGTGGATGGATGGAGATCTGTTGATCATTACATTTTGTTTTTATTTACATTTTACACAACGTCCCAACGTTTTAGAACTGGCGATGTAGATATTAACCTCAGGTGTTTGGGGTGGTAGTAGCTAAAGGTCTTCTGCAGGTTATACTCTGACCACTAACTCCTTCAAAATCAGAATCAGAATAAGCTTTATTATCATTGCACCAGAGTACAGCGAGATTATATTCTGTACAGTCAACCAAAAGATGGGCGGAGTGCACGTGGCTGCAGCTCCTAGGAGTGCGGCCCCTTATTCTTTAGATGGAAAAGGGGAAAGACCATGAGGAGAGGATAGTGGTATTACAAAAAAATATCTCTTCACACCATGTCCTTGTCAGGACATGATTTAAGACATCAAAAAATACCAGCAAGCACATTTATAGACACATTACATGCATTTGATGACAAGACGGTGAGATTTGTCCATGAAGCACTTCCAGATAGCACCACAGTCCTAATAAGATGTTGGTGTCAGCCGGTACAGCTCTGATAAGCGTTCACAGAAGGGTTGCGCGGGGAATGGATAGAGCAGAGCCTTCTTAGTTTACACACATCCCAGGAGAAATTTGATAAGTCGGCCTGCTTCAAGTCCCAATATGCTGACGAGTTCCAAAGCTGCAAGTGGCCTACGATTCTTATAAATCGCTTCCATCTTACGGCTGAGCTCATAAATGAGCGGAGTCTGAGAGCTCAAAGCACAAACTGATCCTTCAGGTCAGCAGCTTTGCCATGGCCGAAGCTGCCGCCGCCGTCTTCTAGCCGATAACAGGTATCTGACGGTGCCAAGAAGCAGAAACCCTGCTATCATAAGTCCAGTGATCTTCTGCATCCTCCTGAGACAATACAGAAAGGCACAACATATCCATGACGTACCCTGCTGCGTGTCTCTCAGCGGGGCATGAGTGTTCTCCAGGACCCTGTTGCTTGGTTGAAATGTTTTTTTATCAGTTGCGTTGAAAGTCCAGCTGACCAAATCCATGAGAGTAATTTACGATTCGGAAGATGTGTAAATAGAAGCTCCGATACACAGGACAGAGAGCACAAAAGCAGGAGGGAGGCAGGAGAGGGAAGAAAAGCATCTGGCTTGCTTGAGAGTGAGTGAGGAAAAATAAAAACTACCTGTTGGATTCAACTCTCTTTCTGTTAGCAAAATATCTCATGAATGACTGGACAAATTTCTGAAAACAATTTGACATCTACAGCTGATTAATTTTTGATTTCACCTAATTCAAGATGGCCACCGCAGTCACCTGACATTAGAAAACACAGAAATAGCAGGTACTGAGCTAAAATGTGGTGTGGTAGTAGCTGAGCCTTATCCTCAACACACACCGAGTGCAACATTTTTGGAGTCAACCTTCTCCTCATGCCTGCAGGTGTTTCCTCCCACAAACCAAAAACATGTCAGGTTCATTGGTAACTAAACTGTCTCTTGGTGAACGTTGGAATGGTTGTTTGTCTAATGTGTCCCTACATTCAACCTTTATTTAGACAAGTTAATCCCATTGAGCCTCTGGGACTCATTTACAAGAAAGACCTGATTTTAACAAAGCAATGACAACAGTGGACAATCATTAAAGGAAGCATACAAGTTGAGAAGAACAAGTGAAAGAAAATGGTATTAAAAAATGAAACAAAAAAATATAAAACAGCTAGGTTGTAAGGCAATGTAGAAAACTAAAAGCAGGAACATGTCTGCATTGGTTTTTGACAGGAACTTAGCAGATGTTTGAAGCCACTTAGAGGTCAAGGTCGAGAGCTTCAAGCCTTTTTGCAAGATATTCCAGGAAACAAGAGCAGAGTAGAAGACCCTTTTGTTAAGTTCAGTCTGCACTGAGGGAACACTGCAGGTAATAATGTCCTGAGAGCGCACGCTGTAGCTGCACTCACGCAGAGACATGTAGGAGGAGATGTATGAAGACAACAGACCAAGAAGTGATTTAAAGATGAAAATGTACCAGTGAGAGAGTCTGTGTGAAGTTATTGATGTCCAGTTAACCAGTGAATACAGGGTGCAGTGGTGGGTACGATAGTTGCAGCCAGTTATGAATCTTAGTGCACCATGAAAGACAGCATCCAACATCTGCAGGGTTCTTGTAGGAGCGTTCATGTAAATAATGTCACCGTAATCAATGGAGGGAAGGAAAGTCACAGATACAAGGTGTTTCTTAGCATTCAGAGTTAGACAGGATCTATTTCTGAAAAAGAAACCCAGTTTAATTTTCAGTTTCCTTACCAAGTTTTCCACGTGAAGCTTAAAAGAGAGGTGCGAATTGACCAAGATACCCAAGTATTTGTAGGAATCAACAAACTTCAGTCTCGATTCAAGCTTGAATCATCTCGTCTGTTTCAGAGCTCGAGTTCGACCACCGGGACAGATCTGCTTCATGTGACTTCAATGAGCTTCCACTGTGAGGTGGATTTTAAATGTTTTTTTGTCCACAGGGTCTCCGTCCCCACATGTGGAGGAACAGCAGAACGGCTTCTGCACACAGAAAAACCTCCTCCAAGGTTAGGACTGAACGCTGCTCTACGACTTGGATGGAGCGGCCATTTTCATTAAGACTTTTTCAACTAAAAAGGAAAGTGACGAGACTCAGTTCTGCTTGCTGGTAGATCGTGAGTCGAAGCGTTTTTCCAACTTTCTTTGTGCTGACATGAAAAAACAAACAGTACAGTATTATCACCTTCAGCACACAAACGGATCCACTTTGTTTTGCGAGTATTTATTACAATCTGTGTATTTCAGCTGTTATTACCACAGTGTTTGATCCGTTTTACTCCTCGGGTCAGCTGAGATTTGTTCCGAGTGGAAGTCGTTCTGATTTTATCAATCATTTCTTTTAAAGACTTGGAATAAAATGAGCAGAAGCGGAATAATTCAGGTAGTTTTGGGGTCTTCTGAAGATTCACAAAACAAATATTCAGATTTGGATATGAAGCGCCTCTGCTGAAAACGAGTGGCTTTAATGGAACGAGCAGGAGAGATTTCACTGCAGAGCTGTTCATCTGCAACAAATATCCTTTGTAAGCTTTTTGTATTATTTTTTTTTATCTTGCATGCATCTCTGGAATAAGTTATTTTAAAAATAATAAAAATGGTATCTTGTTTGTCGTGTTGATTATAGCTGTGAGAAAAGCTGGACACTTAACGGGTCATCTTTATAAAAATAACTGAATTAACTTACTTAACATTGGTGGCATATTTCATATTTAACGTTTTACTTCTCATCACCCATAGATACGCTGTAGCACCCTCAGCAACAAAATAAGTCCCGTCGTTCATGCCGTCTTGGCAGCTTTATTTAGAAAGGTTCACATTCTCATAGAAGAGTTGAAAGTATGTGAGCTGCTCTCCAACAGATTTGTTCTGATCAGTGAAGAATAAATCAAACCGAAGGGGAATTCATTTAAAGAGTCCCAGAACTTTAATGGAGCACATAGTACTGACATTCTGACAAAACTAAAAAATCATTAAAAAAAAATCATTCTTTATTGGTAAACTGAAGCAGCAAAGTCTGGATTTTATTAAAGAAAGCAGTAAATTGTTTGAAAAGCTTTCTGAGGGAAATAAATAGTTCTAAAAGCATTAACTTAAAAAGTGAGACTGAACTTCATATTTCTGAATTTATTTTATCTGTTTGTGTTCTTAGAGGCCAGATAATGACATCATGTTTGTTAAACAGGAGAACACCAGAGAAGCACCATGGCTCCAAGTTCTCCTCTGGAACAGGTCACTTCCTGTTTCATAAAGAAGATGAAACTCTGAATGCATCACGGGTCCGTTCTGGGTGTAACCTGGTGGTTCAGTCAAGGTCCAGCTCGAACGTCTTTAGTCAGCTGATTTTCAGGTGCGTTTTAATTTGGCCCAACGGCTGGAACGAATAATCTGAAGGGAGGTTCTGGTTCTGTCAGGACACGTTCTGTTGAGGTGTGATGTGTGCCCTGCACTTGGAGAATCGAGTTCCTTTGTTTGATGCACAGAGGGGCAGGACACGAGCGTGGGCAGGCAGCGGTTCTGGAACACGTACGGTCGGCTTCTCAGAACCGGTGAATGAAGGTGGAGCGGGTCTAGGCCTTCATCAGGGCGCCGACCACGGCGCGGGCGTTCAAGCTGCGCAGGTCGTTGTAGGTCTGACCCGTGCCCACGAACACAATAGGCTGGCCTGTGATGTAGGTCATGGAGATGGCTGCACCCACCTGTGGGGGGGGCACATGACGCATGAAGAGCTATCAGCTTCCCAACTGCAGCATATTTATGAACAAATCATTGGCTGCTCAGAACAGTCTGCGGTTAAAATTAGTTTTGGATATTTATGGACCTTATCGTCGATGGTGTCGAACTTGGTGAGGACGATCCCGTCTATGAGGCGGGGCTTCTCCGACATGGAGTGGTCGGCCAGAGCCTGATTAAACTTCACCTGAGGACACGAGGACCAAACACACAATTATTCAGGTGAAACGTGACCTGCGGGGTTTTGATGCATCAAATGAAGGTCAGAGGGAGAGGGGGGAGGGGGGGTGTGGGGGGGGGGGGGGGGGGGGGGGGGGGGTCAGTGGAAACAACCTGTCTAACTGAAGAGCAGAACATTGGAGCGACGCTGCCCTCTGCTGGACAATTAACATCTACAGTCCTGAAACCATTCAACCAGGGGAGCTCAGTACTTTGATCATGATCTAACAGTCATCGCAAAGGCATTATGGGTAGATCCATGGCATTAAAAAAACAAGACATCAGCCTACCATCCATCCATCCATCCATATATGAAATTTGTCACTTGACTGATGTACAGGGCAGCCAGTCTGCGGCCCCGTTTACACAACATGAAACAGCAGCCTTTCTGCTGTGGCTCATTCATTCATTTCTATAGCGCTTTACACAACCACGATGATGGTGACCAAAGTGCTTAACAAAAACAGTAATTAACACGACAAGTTAAAAGCAAGAAAAACACAATAAAATAAAGAGAAACAGGAACGTCACCACACATTTAAGTACTAAAAGCCTGATGGAATAAAAAAAAAAAGTCTTACGCGTCGATTTAAAAAGGGCCAAGTTCAGTAATCTGACTTTCATTTCATGTGAAATGTTCATTTCTCCGACCACAGCCCTCCTTCTGAGGTTTCTGAATCCAGGTCTCAGAGTGGAGATATTTGGAGGGACCCCACCATGGAGGTGTGAAATGCTCCCCAAGTGTGAAGTCACACATGCGCACTACAGGCGGCTGCAGTCTAAAGTTTTCTGCACTAACAACAGTTAGAATAAATGTCAGGGAGCAGCGTTTTTGTGCTGCTCACCCTTTTACAGCATGTAGGAGCAAAACTAGAGACGTTAGTGTATTCATCTGTTTGGACGCAACTGTCATGCACAATGAACGCAGCTGAGCGCCAGCATCAGGGTTGCCAGATAAATGTAAAATGTCTTGTTTACGCCCTCCTTTTCTGTGCATATGTTCAACAAACACAACACACCGCTCATCTTAGAATATCTTTACTCAGCACATTTGACAGTTTAAGTCAAAATACTATTATTTTAAAGCCACAGTACTATAGTTCAGAATTTCTTATCTGGCAACCCGACTGACACGGAAACTACAGCGTTTTCGTGTAAACCTGCTCATTTTTTTGTTTATTACCCCCAATAAACATTGAAAGAACACAAACGTTTCCAGAGGTTGTTCTTGTGTAATCAGAGCCTTAAAGTAGATCACTTTGACTTGGTCATTTTAAAAGTAGCTCGCATGATGAAAAGTGTGGCCACCCCTGCATTAAACAGTGCGACTCTAGCTACGGAGATACATTTGTCTCAAAAGTAGTCACACAAGCTTACAATGTTTGTGTGCATTCAGTGTGATACACAAGCGTACCGCAAGTTTTACAAATGCATAAACAGTTTTTTCTAGTAGGAATATTCTGCACATACAAATGGTCAAACACATGTGCACAAATCACCTGATGTGCACGGATCAGCTTGCCTGTGCACAAGACTTTTGAGACTCTTACTGCTAAAGACTCAAAAGGTAACGCTGCGTTCAAGGCTGGTGAAAAGCTGGGACATCTGAGCCCTGCCAGATTTACTGAGTTATTATAAAGACTTTTCTAACATGGCCCGTACAGATCACAGTCCGTGCACAGCAGGTGATTTGTGCACGTGTATTTGACTAAATGTGCAGAGTATTCCTAGTTGTGCAATTTGAAAGGTGTTCAATTGAAAAGCTGTTATGGACCTTGTAGTGAGCTTCTGTGACAACTTTTGATCTCCAGCTGGATTTAGTTCTGTGTTGATTCAGACTCGTTTTATTTTGCTTTTGTACTCTGATGTTAGTTTTACTTTGTAACTTCTTCTGGACCAGGCCTCCCTTGGAGAAAAAAAAACGGTTCACTTTAGGGACTTCCTGATTAAATAAAGTCAATAAAATTTCAGGACAACAGTAACTGTGTTTGACCACAATAGAGTTTAAATCCTAATGTATTGAACTGCCTAAACAAAACACCTACATTTTATAAGACTTTTTTATTGTCATCTGCATTAAATCATTGAGTCTGACCCCCCCCACCCCCCCACACACAACATCCAACTTCATGGGGAGTCTTACCAGCTGATCAACGGCCTCGTTGCCCACCAAAGCTTCCCCGACAAACAGAACTAAATCTGGCACGTTGACAGCGATCAACTTGGCCAGAGCGGTCATCAGGGGGGCGTTGTCCTGCATCCGCCCAGCCGTGTCCACCAGCACCACGTCAAAAGCCTGGTTCCGAGCTGAGGGACGGCAGATATGGTGAACATGTGCGGACCTCCAACGAACACGGAGGTCCAGTCCTCTCAGAACATATGAAGGAGCCTCTGAGGGGAAACGTTTTACCGTAGGAAATGGCTTCCATAGCGATCCCAGCTGCATCCTTCCCGTAGCCCTTCTCGTAGAGCTGGACCATGGTGCACCCGCCATGCTTCTCTGGGGGGTGCAGGGAGTTCAGGCGGCGCTGGTGAGTGCGAAGCTGCTCCACAGCTCCGGCACGAAACGTGTCGCAGGCTGCGATGAGCACGCTGAAACCGTTCTCTATCAGCCAGTAGGAGATCTGGAGGCAGACAGGGAGCGGGTCAGAGCAGCATGTTGATGTCAAAGTTACCGGATCAGAAACAAGACGCAGTTTCTAATCCGTTTGGACTTTTCACACTGTAATATTTAATAACAGCCGCATCGTCCTTTCACGGACACTCTAGGTGCGACAAAGACCTCTAAGAAAAGACTTTTTAAATATTTATTAATTTTCTTCTATTAATCCATCAGACTGGAGACAAAATGTCAAGGAGGGAAATCTAGACCTCACTGTCCCTGAGGTGGACTCTGCAGCTCCTCCCCCAGGGGTCTGCAACCTGCGGCTCTGGAGCCACATGTGGCTCTTTGGTTCCTCTGCAGTGGCTCTTTCAAGCTTTGACCAAAACTGAAATAAAACTGAATTTTATTGGTTGTTGTTATAACAACAACTAAAATGGCTAGTTTTCGCTGTTTTCCTGTAATTAAGTTTGAAGATATATGAATACTAGGAACATTACAAGGAGTTAAACATACTTTCACTTTATGCTTTATTTTTTTTTCAAAGTAAGATACTTAATTTTTCTACAAAAAATAAAATTAAAATTAAAATCGCATAGGCCTGCATAGTTTGTTTTAGTTTTTAGAAATTGGGCAAAAACTATTTTATTTTTTCCATCTTTACAAGAATCTCATATTTTATTTTGTCTTAGTGTAAAAATAGCAATAAATATTAAAATTCATTAGATATTTTAATTTTATAAAGTTACCCCTACTGTCCAGAAAAGCGCCCTCCAACGAACTTAAAGTGGCCTGTGTGCCACCAGTTGAGAATCCCAGTTGTAGCAGGTATTGTGGCTCAGAACACGTTTAATTTAGTGAACAAAGGGGCAGAAATGGCTGTTTTGACCGTAAACACTGCAGACTGCTGCGAGGATGTTACGTCAGAGAGGACTTGCAATCCTTCAAACAAGTTCTTGGTCAGTACTAGGGCTATTCAACTGGTGGCCCCCCGGGCCATTTCCGGCCCGCAGGTGACTTCAATCTGGCCCACTTCATAAAAACAAAATAAAATGAAAAATTTTTGGTTTTGGATTCTGTTTATTGCATTTGATTCAATGCAATAAAATAAACATTTAAAAAGGTAACAGATCATTGTAAAACTTGGTTTTTTTTTTAAATATAATGAGTCGCTGGATGTCCGGCCCCCCGAGCAGCTGGCTTTCAGAAGCTGTGGCCCCCTGAGCATTTTGTTGAATAGCCCTGGATATACCAACAGGAAGTGTATAGATTTAAAAACTACAAGAACTAGAGACATTGCAGTAACTGTCTGGTGTTCAGAGCAACAGTCTCTTTCAGTGAACACTTCCATAACGCAGCCTCACACACAATTAGGTCAAACGATCACAAAAGAGCAAACTCACCTTTGCCAGGTTTGTAGACTTTCCAACTCCATTGACTCCACAGAACGTGATGACAAAAGGCCTCCGCTGGTGCTGCGCCTCCATGACATCTCTCAGGATGTCCACCCTGCGTTTGGGCTGCAGGATCTGCACCAGGGAGTCCTGCAGGGCCTGCTTTACTGTTGAGGCCACAGCTGCACACACACACACACACATCAATGGATTTCTCACACACACCACAGCACCATCACACAACTGCAGTGTGTGAAAGTCTGCAACTGTTGCCTTCATTTGACGCATTTTTAATTTTATTTCAAGCAAACATCCTGACTGAGCAGCAGTTTAAGAAGAGCACCTCATAAAGCAAATTACATGGACTTAGCAAGGGTTCTCAACCCTGGTCCTTGAGGAACACCATCCTGCATGCTTTAGCGGTTTCTCTGCTCCGACACACCTGATTTTAATAAATGGATTTTTAACAGGCTTCTGCAGAACATGAGGAAGTAATTCAATGACTGAATCAGGTGTGTTGGAGCAGAGAAACAAGTAAAACATGCAGGATGGTGTTCCACAAGGACATGGGCTGGGTACCACTGATATACAGCAATACGGCCCAAACAAGCAAAGACCTTGTATACGGTTTGACTTTGATATTTGACCTTAACCTTGAAGCTGTGGCGAGGAAGATTACACGACACTCTGTAGTGGTGATAAACAGTCATATCAAGTTTTGTTAAATTATCTTGAACGGATCAGATGTTATGGTCCAGACAAGTGAAAGATGACGGACAGACAGGGACTAGAACAAGTCCATCCTTCGACGGGCGTATAAAATTTATTCTGTGAAAACTGAGGGGAACTTCATGTTTATCAGCATGAATACATTCCTTCCTCCAGAAAGTTGACAGTAGTCACAAGATGACGGGGATAAATATCAGTGGGGGGTACTCACTGGTGAATGTGCCCATGACTCTCCCCTCCAGTTTTTTGGCCACAGAGTCACACAGCTGGGAGGCGATGTCGGCTGCTACATTCTTCGCTGTGAACCCAGGAGGAAAAGAAACGATGACGACTTCAGAACTCAGACACCGGGTGAAAGACACGGGAAATCGTACCGATGAGGTGGTCCCTCATCTTCTCCAGCACCGGCTCCATGTCCTCCCGGGACAGGCTCTTCGAGCCCACCAGACCCTTCAGCATCCCAAACATTCCCCCAAAACCACCTCCTTTTCTGGGGCTGAGAAAAACAAGGACTAAACTGAGGACTTGTTCAGGTTCCAGCGTAAACTACACAAAGACTTTGTTACCTCGTCTTGCTCGTTTCACTGACGACCACACCCTCCTCCTCCTCCTCCTCTTCCTCCATCTCCTCCTCCTCACTGGACTCGTAGTCCACAGACAGCAGGTCTCCTTTCATGGAGCTCACCTGCATCTCCTGAAACACAACAAAGACCTTCAACTCCAGCCACATGAAAGTGAGAACCTGTGAAGGTGGAGTGGGGCGTGCACGTACCGGGCCAAACTGGGCCTCCAGATTCTTTTCTCCATCATCAGGAGAATCAGCTCCATTCTTGTAGCTGTAATCCAGCTCCTTGGTGCTGCTGCCAGCGTTGGCCCAAACACGGTTCTGTTTCTCTCGTGGCTTTTGAGGCTTTGGGGACTTGATGCTAACAGAGATATAAGAAAAATTAAATTATTCTAACGGCTTTGATGCAGATGATTCTGTACAACTTTCTGTGCCAGCTGCGTAAGAAGGTAAAACTATCAGCTGATTTACATTTGTTTGTCAGAGGTTCCCATCGTGCGCTTGCGGATAAAGTTCTCTCTGTTTCTTTGCAGGATCTCCTCAGGAGTCAGGTCCTGGGTACCGTTCACGGCGGTCTTCTTGTCAGTGGGAGGAGCCTTTCCCTGATCCACTTTGACAGGCTCAGCTGCAGGAGCTAACACACACGACACATCAAAACCAAAGAGCGCCAACGTTCAGGATGAGCTTTTTAGGACCATCACGAGCAGCACTTACCCCCCTTTTTAGTATTTTTATTCTTTTTGCCCCCCTGTTCCTTGCCCTTGTCCCCACCCTTCGTTTCGATCATGGACTTCACAGTTTTCTGGGATTTCTCGGACATATTGAAGGTCCTCATGGGAGCGGGGCTTCGGCTCTTACTGCTCTCTTCGGCCATCCTGGAGTTAAATGGGTTGGTTTAAGTCAGAGTGAACAGAAGGAAACTGGTTTAGGGCCGCAGCTCTGAATCTTCCAGAACAGATCGTCTCAAACAGCACAGAGACGACTTTACCTCCGGACAACGTTAAAAAAAAACAGCTCTCACTGAAATAAACTTTTTAAAAACCTCATTATTTACAACAGGCGTTAATGTTTGGTGATCCAATCACAAGCGCACCGCACCATAACTGGTTTACACCCAGTTTAAAGACGCCTGGTGGAGTCCACCCGGCATGTGTGACCCCTGTGTCTCCAGGAACCATTTTCACGACACGCTGCTCTTCTAATATTAAGATCTGCTACCTCAAGTTGAACTTGAAGCCTTGTCGCTGCAGTCACAGATGTACTTTTGACCAATGAACAAATGGTTTTCTGTGAATTATTCATCGATGTTCTACAGTCGAGGACAGTTTTGAAAATGGCACAAATTTTGGTTTTCAAAGTTTGCAGCCTCTTTTTGTGGAACCTTTTGTCAGATGTTTATACGGTATAATGAAGCACAATTATAAGCATTCCTTATATTTTAACTTTTTATTGACAAGCATATCCAGTTTAAACAAAGACCTAATATTTACAGTATTAACCCTTCTGTTTTTTAAGACCTGCAGTTCACCTCAGCATGCTGGATATCAGCTTCTGGGCAAAATCTTGAGTGATCTTTTTACTAGTTAGCATTTTCTAATAGCATACCTGCAAACTCAGAAGGGAGGAAAAAGGTGACAAACCCTGCGCCTGTATTGGGGAGTGGGGTTGTGGTTTTTAACATCATGCTTCAGGTAAAAAGACATTTACTAACATATCCTTATTTAATTAGGACAAACATAGGAAAGATGGATAGTCAAGTAAAAAATAAACAAGCAACAACAGCAGCAAGCCAACCAGAAAAACCAAATATAGCATTTTGCCAACGGCAAAAACTCATTTCTGAAATGTTTTGGCCTGGACAAGCGTTTCAAGGGCCCGTTCCCAAGCGCCTCTTTCGTGTCACACGCTCTTGCTCCACCATTTCTGCCCTATTTATTTCCCTAATGATCCACCAGAACAGATGTGTTGATCACTTAAAACAAAACACCCGTGTGTTGTGTTTCATTGGCACCAACGTTATTTGTTTGTTTTAATTTCTCTGATCTTATGACAATGACGCGTTATTATGGGACATCAATAAGGACGCATTAGAGATAGCCTTCCCAAAATTACTCGCATAGAACCGAGTAACATTGTAGGCTAACGTTAGCACACATTTCACTGATATTAGCCAATAGCCTAGCTAGCATTACATGCTGACAAGCTTTCCATTACAGAGAACGTTATGTTGGAAAAGTTAACGGATTACGACAAGCATAATGTTGCTAAAGTAGTTTTTTTTTGCTAAATCAAGTTTAATTTACACAGCATATTATATTACATCGTTGGCAGATAACAAGACTTATCTCAAAGCTAACAGTGTCCAACATTAGAAGTGACTAGTTATAACGTAGACCAGTTTCCTTCACCCATGGGAACGATTTCTCCATCATCTATCTTGATTGATAGAAAGATGTTCTATTGTAGACAGAAACCTTGATGGTAAAGTCCAGGCAATGGGAAATTATGCCATCTACCACACCTTTAGATGATTCACATAAATGACACCGTTTGAAATTGGCGAATTCTGCCGAAGTGACAAGTTTGCAGGTATGTAATATATTGGTTCCGACTGTATTCACTTATATTTACTAATATTTATTTACTAATATGTAATTCATTTAAAATAAACAAATGTATCAAAAAGAATAAAAAAAAACATTGAATGAAAAGGGTGCAGAAAGAAGAAGACAATTCGTATAAATGGACTGTGTTACATACACAAACTGAAGTGTACCACAGATGTCTAGATTCTTGTGTTGACCACAGTGACGGGACCTCAGACAGAGGGGTCAATAAATGGCTAACAGAATGTGATCATCAAGGGCCCTGAACATAATGAGACCAAACAAAAGCTCCCCTTTCGTGATCAGATTACCAAACACATAAATCAGATACAGTTCTGTTTAAAGGGTCGTGTTTTAAAGTAACAGCATGTGTCATTATATTACAGCATATAAAGCCATCTCATCTTTTTCTGCAGGTACAGACGAATAAAAATAAAAATAATAAAGAAATGATGCATTAAAGTAACTAGGCATGATGGTGTTACATGACACAGTAACACTACTGGAAATAAATAGCGCAACTTCAAAATGAGGAAAAGTGTGAACATTTACTTGACAAATAACTATATCTGCAACACTTTCAACAGTGTTGGTCTTAACCTGGTATATGACTCAGAGCAGTACATCAGAGATGTTGGTAACATTAGTTGTGTTCAAACATTAGGAGAAAACAACAGTTGCTAAATTAAGGATTCAGCCGTGACAAAGTTTGAGTATTTTTCTGTTTACCTGAGGAGTTCGTTGAAGGCCTCTTCAAACTCACAGGTGCTGTTGAGAAGCTTCATGGCACCTTTGTGCTCCAGCTCGTTTTTATAACGATCCCTGAAGTGACGCTGGACATCATTTATAAACTTGTCCACATACGTCAGCGTAAGGATCTTTTGAAAACCCACCTGGACGTCAGACAGAAAAATTAAAATAAACTTGTGAATTGATTTGTGACAGTACAAATAGACTAAACAAGCACCTTGGTTTTTATATTTTAGCCAGTTATTGAAATGTGCACCTCACGGACTTACCACAAAAATCAGCTCGAACTCATTGTCCAGTTTGTATTTCAGACTCAGAGCTTCGTGGGTAAATGAGTTGTTCCCACCTCGCTCCTGAGGAGAAAGAGCATGACACCTGAACTGAACACGAGCTCCACGGGTGTTCTTAGATATGTGGCCTAAAGAACATGAGTAAAATCACTGAAGCAGAGGTTATAATAAAACTCATCTAACAGAAAACATATCTTAGTTCTCTAAAATCTAAGAAGCTTGTTTACCTGCTGTTAGCATGACGCCAACAGTTAGCATTAGCTTAGCATTAGGCGCTGACAGTTTGACAGTAAAGCCCTCACCTGCAGGATGACCGAGCGGATCAAAGCGTTCACTGGCCCCGTGAAAGACTCAGTGACCCCGGCTCCCTGAAAACACCACAGCACTATCCCCCCTTTGCTGAAGATGGTGAAGAAATCCAGCATCTTGTCACCACGGATCTGGATTTAACGAGAACACACACAGAAAAAGATAAACTGGGAAAAATGGAAGCCCCGAAAAGAAAGTCTCCTGTGCTACATGACGGAAAATGTTCAATTCTTACCAGAAATAATAATACGTATGATAAATACCCCCAAGTAAAATCCCAAAGCCGGTGGAAAACCGTTTGACACGTCAGATGATGTCCCCGGAAATGACGCTTCTTCCGGTGTTTTACCGGAAACGGAAATGTGTAAGGCGGTGCGCTTGTTATTCTTCCTTTTTTCACTGAAATGTTTAGTAAAATCCATAAATGACAAACGAACTCTCCATTCTTAGTACTCTTAAAACAAAATCACTTTTATTTATCAATTTATTTAATGTTTAATCATTTTAGTACAGTTTTTATGTCAAACCAGGATCCTTGTGCTGTCCTTGTTGGGGTGTTACACACGGAGTACCATGGGTTTGTTTTGACTGCATCACTGCACTTTTATCACACAGTATCCTCTGCACCAGATAACCTTCTGTAGTAACAAAACAGGCTACCCTGAGAAACTAACCTACCAGCGAAATTGGCTCTTTGCATTTAACCCATCCACCACCAGTGGTGCAGTGGGCAGCTCAGGGAGCATTTGGGGATAGGGTGTGCTGGTCAGAGACACCACAAGATGTGCAATGACTGTGGATCGAACCTGGGACTTCCAGGTCCCAGGTTCAATCCACTTCGAAGCGACTTATTTATGTTTTTCTCCCCCATATTTATAACCCAATTTTTGGTTGAGATCTGACAATTTCAATCATTCTGACATGGAAAATATTGAACACTGCCATTTTCAGCCGCTAGAGGGTACTCCCAACTAATATGGCAAGCCAAGTGTTAATCGGTAAAAGTGGCTATTAATGAGACACTTGGCTTGCCACACCAAGCCACTTTTGTCTCCCTCTGGAACTCCTGGAGCAAACGTCAAATCAGCTGCACTTCGCCATGTTGCCCAGGTGAAATGCAGCTGATTTAACAGTTAAAGTGCATTTATTAAAGGAAAGAAGAAACTGAGACACACCTTTGTTATAATTTTGAGCAAACAAGTAATTGTATTTAAGCGTTAATCTTGTTAAATTCTTGTTAAAGTCCTCCCTTGCACGCACCTGCAGCAGTCGCGAATCGGCTTTTGAAATGCAGCTCTTTACTGTTAAAGTGCATTTATTAAGGACAAGTTAAACTGAGACACACCTTTGCTATAATTCAGTTTGCCCATTTCCATCTCAGAAATATTAACCGTGTTAGCCCTTCTCTCACACCCCGCTCCACAGCCATCCTTGTGCACAGTCTTGTGACTTCCCGGATTGACTACTGCAACTCCTTCTTTATGGCCTCCCCAACAAATCTCTCCAGAAGCTACAATTGGTCCAGAACTCAGCTGCCCGTGTCATCACTCAAACCTCCTCCTATAACCACATCACTCCAGTCCTGCAGCAGCTCCACTGGCTCCCGGTTAAATTACACATTGTCTTCAAAATTCTTCTTCTCACATTCAAAGCTATTCACAACCTTGCTCCTCCTTACCTATCTGACCTCCTACACATCTCCATCCCCTCTCGCTCTCTCAGATCCTCCTCTTCACTACACCTCCATGTACCCTCTGCCCACCTCTCCACCATGGAGAGCAGGGCCTTCACCTGCTCTGCTCCTCATCTCTGGAACTCTCTACCCCCTGACTTAAGAAACACCACCTCTCTTTCTATATTCAAAACTGCTCTGAAAACACATCTCTTTAGACTCGATTACCCTTAACTTTGCTGTATGTATTTCATATTCTGTATGTATTTCATATTCTGTATGTATTTTATATTCTGTATGTATTTCATATTCTGTATGTATTTCATATTCTGTATGTATTTTATATTCTGTATGCATTTTATATTCTGTATGTATTTCATATTCTGTATGTATTTCATATTCTGTATGTATTTTATATTCTGTATGCATTTTATATTCTTTATGTATTTTATACTTTGTATTTCAATTTATTCCTGTTGATCTTTGCACTGTGCTTGTTGTTTGTTTTTACACAATCTTTCTGATATGTTTCTTACTGTAAAGTGTCCTTTGGTGTCCTGAAAGGCGCTTTTTAAATAAAATTATTATTATTATTATATTATAATTTTGAGCAAACAACAAATTTTTTTAGATGGTTATCTTGTTAAATTTTGAAGAACTGCACAGCGAGTCGTCCCTCTGCGCTGCCGCAAATCGGCTTTTGAAATGCAGCTGATTTTACTGTTAAAGTACATTTATTAAGGAAATGTTCAACTGAGACGCACCTTTGCTAGAATTTCGAGCAAACAAATAATTGTTTTTAAGTGTTAATCTTGTTAAAGTCTTGTTAAAGTCCTCCTGTGCACGCTCCTGCGGCCGCCATTTGGCAGCCAATCAATTTTTGGCGCAACACCGTCCCACATTTCTGGGTGGTCAGCAGTGACGCATAACAAACACGACGGGTCAGCGGTGACGCATAATAGATGCGACTTATACGGCGAAGCAACATGTTTTTTTGTTTTTCCACTTTATTTGGCATATTTGGACTGATGCGACTTATACGGCGGTGAGACGTGTATGGCGGAAAGTACGGTAATGTACCGGTAGGTCGGATAATTCCTGATGCATCCTTACATTTATTTACGACACAGTTGTTTATTGTTGAGCTAAAACAGTAAGGTTTTCCAGCGTTTACAGTCTGCATTTGACATTATCCAGTCCTACTGAGTTTTTGATTCTTACAAATACTTGGCAATCTTGGTCAATGCACTTCTCTCTTTTAAGCCACATGTTGAAACCTTGGTAAAGAAGTTGAAAGTAAAACTGGGTTTCTTTTTCAGAAATAGATCCTGTCCTGGGCGGCTGTGGCTGAGTGGTTAGAGCAGTTGTCCTCCAATGCAAGAGTTGGAGGTTTGAATCCACCAGCAGTCACATGCCCAAGTGTCCCTGTGCAAGACACTGAATCCCTCGTTGCCTCCGATGTGTGTCTCATCGGTGTATGAATGTGATTTAAAGCTCTGATATGAGTGTTTAAAGAAGATAGAAAGGCGCTATACAAGTACAGTCCGTTTACCATTTATCTAATCCTGAATGCTAGGAAACCTTGTAGCTACTTTTCTTCCATCCATTGACTATGGTGACATTATTTACATGAATGCTCCTGCAAGCACCTCACAAATGTTGGATGCTGCCTATCACAATGCACTTAGATTCATAACTAGCTGTAACTACCATACTCATCATTGCACCCTGTATTCACTGGTTAACTGGTCATCATTAACTTCACGTAGACTCTCACACTGGTACATTTTCATCTTTAAATCACTTCTTGGTCTGTTGCCTTCAAACATCTTCTACATGTCACTTCGTCAGTGCAGCCACAGCGTGCGCTCCCAAGACATCATTACATGCAGTGTTCCCTCATTGCGGACTGAACTTGCCAAAAGCGTCTTCTCTTACTCTGCTCCTGTATCCTGAAATACCTTGCAAAAAGGTCTGAAGCTCTCAACTTTGATCTCCCTAAGGAATTTTAAACAACTGTTATGTTCAAGGCAAAAATCAATGCAGGCATGTTCCTGTCAGTATTTTACACTGTTTTATAATTAAGCACGTTTTTTATTTTGTTTTATAGCATTTATTTTATTTACTTTTCATTTTATACACTTTTATATGAATGTTCATTGCTGTGTGTACCTCATCTGTGTTTTTTTTTTTTTGTTTGAAACATGTCTCTCTTGTAAATGAGTCCTCGTGACTCAATGAGAATAACCTGTATAAATAAAGGTTGAATGAAAAAAGCACTCATACAAATACAAACTACAAGCTTCCCCACAAACACCACATCTTTGTCTACAAATCATGAGTCCACCATTTGTCCAGTAATAATGGCCACAGCAACTAAATTTTAGATTATTTACTTTTTTTAGACATTTAAATTACCACCACTACCACAAATGCACACACAGACACACACATACACACAAAAATCCCCTAAGCAATATTTAATCAAATAAGCAAATATTTTCAACCTGATTTCATTCAACCTCAGTGAAGATATATACTAAGCAAACACCAAATGGTACACTAAAAAATTTAAGATATACACTAGTGGCTAATAGTGCAAAACAATACACTGAACAACAGCAGCACAAGCATGAGTCTTTGTGGGTGGATGAGTATGAATGAATGAATACAGCAGCAGGAAACAATCAACAGCATGAGATCAGCAGCATGAATAATCAGCAGCACATATCACCAATCAAAGTTGCATTACAGTGATTTTTTTTTCCTTCACATTGATAATTCTGAATAGGGATTCATGAGTCTAACAGCTTCAGGGTAGAAGCTGCTCCTCAATCTAGTGGTTCTACACTTAATGCTCCACAGCCTCCTGCCTGAGGGGAGCGGGACAAAAATTGTGTGTGCTGGGTGAGTGGGGTTCTTCATGATGCAGGTGGCCCTCTTCCTGCATCTGGAGGTGTGGATGTCTGTGTAAAGATATACAAAAGTAAAGGTCTGAACACCATTACCTTGATTAAAATAATGGTGGGTTCTTGGCATTCTGTAATCCCCCTCATTTGAATTAAACACACAAAACCCGGTTGGTTATCACAATGTCTGTAAATTTATTTTACATCTGTGAATAATAATCAACAATGTGAAGTTATGGCAACAATGTGGAAATATGTATGAGCGTAACCAGTAATATTATTTCAAAAGGTGAACAACTTAGTAGATAACAAAGTCCATGCGCAATAATCCAGGTATACAATCCAACATTTTTCAGTCAGGTCATCTGGGTACGCTGTTGGGGGAAGAATCAGTTTTGTGTTGTGTGTTTCCTTGACTGATGAAGCCTTCCGGATCGAAGGCAAAACGTTTCAGCACAAAAAAAGAAGCTGCCCAGATGACCTGACTGAAAAATGTTGAACTTAGTAGATGTTTTGTTTTCAAACAGAGAAAATAGAAATACTGAAGTTCTTCTAAAAAGGAAACAGTTGGTTTAACATTTTAACAAATAATAGAAATTAGGACAAGAACTGGTGCAGCATCTGCAGTTTTGCGGACTCTGTACCGGTCTGTTGTGGTGAAGAGAGAGCTGAGATGTAAGGCAAAACTCTCTGTTTACCGGTTGGTCTACGTTCCTACCCTAACCCATAGTGTTACTGGTTTTGGTGCGTGCCACACAGATAACAAGCTGTGCTTTTTGTTGCGGTTGTTTGGAACAAAGTGTTAATTCTCAGCTCACTGAGGTGTAACATTTGACGGACTTTGCATTTGAAATATGAGTGCAGAGTTCTGGGCGTCTCTTCCAGCAAACAGTAACTTCCTCTTTTTTGAGGGTGATGACAGTTACTTTGTTTGCTTCAGTCTGTTCAGCCACTTTCGCTGAGTTATATGCATGGAGGGCATGCACTCTTCACCGTGGAGCATCAGGTCTCATTTTACAGGAAGAGGTTTGGACTTTAGCTGAACAGGCATGATGGTACTAACAACATGCATGGTGAGTGACATGTCAGAAACTTAATTCTCATGTAAAGATTACCTTACTGGTAATTTGCAACAATTAAGTCATTTTAAATCAGTAACAGTCATACATGTCTTGACTTACTTCCAGTAATTTTTCAGTAACTGGATGTAAACTACCCCCAAACACATTGTATGGGAAAAATTGTTGAAATTCTCAGCTCAGGACCTGCCTTGTAGACCAACTGGGAAGGATTAATAACTATAAATAACTGTGAATGCAGCCGCATGGGAAAAGCTCTCTGGTTTCCACAGGAAGTTCAAGAGTCAGTTCTTGCTGTGACATCTATGGCTGTTTTCTGTTGTGGTGTGTAGAGCTGGAAGTTGGATAAATCCTTCAGAAGAACATCTGAATTCTTAAATGAGAGCCGGATCATTTTGCAACAGGGAAGATGGTGTTTCTGAACACTTTTCCATCATGGACAACATCCAAAACTATAAATTGTTTTAGTCAACAGGAAACGCAGACTCAATCAGAGACTCATCATGCTCCACTGGACGCCCTCCTTTTACTTGAAATACATTGATGCTGCTCTTTATCTTTCTGTATTTCTTTGCCTTATTTTAAAATTTCATTTTTAAGAGAAGGATTTTTTGATGTTTAAGCCATCCATCCATCCATTTTCTTCATCTGCATTTTCCTGTTCTGGGTCACAGCAATCTGGTCCTGTCTCCAGTGAGGCTCAAATTTAGAATGAGGGTCCAACACAACCCCTAGATAATGGAGCTCATCAACTTTTAAGATTCCAACAGTAAAAAAAAAAAAAAAAAATACCGACTTCACATGTACAACTCAATTTTGATGCAGTTCAGATATTTTAAAAAAAAATTCTTAGTTCATTGTAACATTATCACACAATTTGCTTGTTCAATAACCATGTGGCCAGTTGTGTAGTATTTATTTAAACAATAATATCATTTGCATACATTTGTCACTGAAAAAATGCAACTCTCAGGCAAGCAAAAAGAGCAATGGTTCCACACAGGAGCCTTGTGGAACACCTATTTTGATATTAAAATCTTGATTTCATTTTATTTCCTTTTATTAACTGTACTCTATGTTGATCACCAGCCACCAAGATAGTTGCTACAAATAATAAACCTTTAAAAACACAAAAATGGCCATACATGACCCAGTCATTTTTACAGATAGAGCTAAAACTTGGTTTAGTAGTGGATGAGAGTCATTCACAACTTATACTACAAGCACTAAGTGATTGTGTGATATGCTTGTTTAATACTCTGGAATGCAGTATGTTGGGCAGTATTACTTCAAGGAAAGCAAGTTTTACTTAAACATGAACTGTAACCGTTAAAGACTGTTCTAGAGGAATTTCACCTTTTAAATTTAGAGTTTTTGAATTCCTGAGCTAATCATAAAGGTTTTTGTTTTTGTTGTTATTGCTAAATTAGCATAGAGACTGTAGATCTGAAAACACACAACCAGGTCGTCAGTGTCATATACTGTTTTGTTTTGTCTTACAGGTTGGTTCCAAAATTTATTTAAACCTAGAAAAACTAAATCAACCCAACACGACAAGGGCATAAATGCTGAAAACTCGGTGGTGTCCATCAGCAGCGTGTCATCCACATCGACGTCCGTAAGGACCAGTCATTGTAAACCACAGCAGTTAAATATTGCACTGAACTCAGAGCTGAGATGGAAACGGAAATATGATGTATTTGTGTGCCACAGCTCTGCCCACACTGACATTGAAGAGGCCACACGCCTGGTCTTGTTCCTGGAGGAGGCGCCACGCAGCCTCCGATGCTTCTTGTGGCAAAGGGACACCTGTCCAGGAGGAGCCATTTCCACAGAGTTTTGCAAGGCAGTGGCAGACAGCCACATACGGGCCCTGCTTATCACCCCCAGCTTTGTGCAGGACGACTGGTGTAATTATATGATGCACCAGACTTTATCAGAGGGGCCCATGTCCAACAGAATGATCCCCATGCTTCAGAACCTGTCCTACTCTCAGTACCCACAGGAACTCAAGTTCTACTACTACATTGACTTGAGCAAGAACCCAGACCAAGGCTTCAGTATGGTCAACAAGACGGTGCACAGGCGTAAGTCATCAGGGTGAACTGAGCTACAGAATGTCACAGTTCCTGGTGATATTACATCCAAGGGTTATGACGTGTGTAGAATCATCTTAAACATGTATTTTTGTTCCATCTAAAGAGATAGTTTAGATATTTTTGAAGTGATGTTCTGTCAAATAGTTGTCAACAATTAGTACTTTATTTAACAGCAGAGAGAGCAGTCAAAAAACTCAAAGTGTGGAGAAAAGGGCAAAAGTCTTCATTCAGTCTAGATTAATTGCTCACCCAAGAGACACATTTTATTGTTTTCTTTTAGGCTTATGAAAAAAACAGTTAAAATGACATACTTGTGTGAAAGAACAATGCATTAGCTAACCTTTATCTAAACCTAGGTGAAGACTTTTGCCATTTCTATATCCTCTGTGCTATATGACTGATGTCACGGCTGATGGTGCTGGTAATGGTGATGTCATACAAAAAAAAATTCACAGGCAATCAGGTGTAGACCTCATCACATTCATTACAAAGCTTTGAAGTTAGACCCACAGAGAGACAATGCATCACAAATACAGAACTTATTAATGCCTTGTCCTTTGCTCCAGGAATCTGACCCATTCTGACCTCTTGAAGAAAGCTGGCTAGTTTTATAGAAACCCCTGATCGCAGTTCCCCCCATCTCCTCTTGGTTGCCACCAGCCAACTGCAGATAGAGGCGCAGAGGAGTCGTGGAGAACAAGCATCTCTCAAGGACTCCCAGGGAACAAATCACAAATGTCTACCATAACGTTCAAAAGTCTTGAACAAACAAAAGATGATGAACCATGACTTCTCCTCTATCCTCTTACAGATAATCACATTAAAAAGTATTATAATCCAATCCAACTTTATTTATAAAGCACAACTAAAAACCATCACTTCTGTCTTTTTTTCTCAATGAAATTTGAAAAGCTTAGATCCATCATCATGTCGTCAAGACACTTGAGCAACGGATCGACAGAGTGCAGATCTGTTTTTTTTAAGAAGAACATAAATCTGACTGTCATCCGCATAACAATGGAAGAAAATACCATGCTTCCTAAGTATGGAACCAAGTGCAAGCAAGAGACAAGAGTAGAGGGCTCAGGACTGAGCTCTGGGGGACCCCACATGAGAGTCGAGCAACGGAGGACACAAAGTCCCCAAGACTGACACAAAATCTTCGATCTGTTAAGTATGACCTGAACCACTCCAGTGCTGCACCCCCCACCCACTGATTCAAGTGGGAGATTAAAAGTTCATGGTCCACTGTATCAAATGCTGCAGTTAAATCTAAAATCCAAGAATAACACAGTCCCCAGAGTCAGTTATAAAAAAAAAAAAAAATCACAAAAAACTCTTAAAAGAGCCGATTCTGTGCTGTGTAAGGTTTTAAAACCAGATTGGAAAACCTCAAGGATATTATGTTTCTCCAGAAAAGCCATTACTTGAATAAAAACTATCTTCCTGAGGATTTTTGAGATAAAAGTTAGTTTAGATATAGGCCTAAAATTCACAAGAGCAGCAGTATCTAGTCCTATTTTAAAATCAGAGGTTGCGCAGTTGCACATTTGAAATATTCAGGGACCACCCCTGAGGACAAACTGCTATTAATAAGAGTCAAAACAAAGGACCCTATAGTGGGAAGAAAGCATCAGGAGAACCTGAGGGCTTTAATTGACCAACAGTCTTCTGCAATAACATCAAAATGAACTATTGTAGTTTCATTCTGACAGTTCACAGTGACTGAAATGAATCATCATAAGGATTATTATGTAATGAAATATCACATGGTACATACATTTATTTTTGTTTAACCTTTATTTATGCAGGTAGTCACACTGAGTCATGCAGACTCGTTTTCAAGAGAGTCTTGTTTTGGGAGCAGATGGTGGGGGTTAAGAGCCTTGCTCAAGGGCCCAAACTGGGGCAAATGAGGGTGGAGGCAGGTGTGGGTGTTTCACCTTTTCCACCCACACATTGATGTTGTCGGTCCCGGGAGTCGAGCCAGCGACCTTCTGATCACCACCTCCTATGTACATATGTCTATTTACCCTGACAGTGACAGGCAGTGGGTGTTTGTTATCAAAAGTGGTGTAACTGTCACCAGTATTATCTGTCGAGGACACTCGTGCAGCTTAACCTTTATATATTTTTTCTTATAACACTTCTTTTTTGGGGAGGAGGGGGCAACTTCTCACCTCATTATATCCAACTTTATTCCTGTATTCATCCCCATATTTTAGCAGAGAAATGACTGTGTTTTATGGTCTTAGGCCTCATACGTTTGCTTGTGCACTTTTTAATGGTGAGAAAGTCAACAATGTTCTCGCTGATGTCCTTTTATCCTCTAACAGCTCCTCTCAGGGCTGTGTATCTTCTTTCATTTTATTTTAGTGTTGAAATGTGTGTGTGTGTGTGTGTTGGGTGTGTGTGTGTGTTTGTTTCAGGTTATCTTGTAGGGACCAATTTTACGAAAAAACATGCATTGTGGGAACCAACTGCTCTTTATGGGGACCAAATCCCTCCTCAGGATTATCACTGTGAAGAAGAAGAAAAATCACTATAATGCCACTTTGTTGATATGTGCTGCTGACTATCCACGCTGCTGATCTCATGCTGCTGATTTATTTCACGCTGCTGTGTTCATTCGTACTCATCTGCGCACACAGACTCATGTTTGTGCTTCGGTTGTTCAGCGTATTGTTTTTGTACTATTTGTGCTTAGAGTATTCTTAGTTTAGTGTATTTCTTACTTTATATCTTAGATCTTATTACTGTTTTTATTTACAACTTATACTTTTGTTGGATGTAACTGAGACCCTGTGTACACAGTTTCATTCCAACACATGTGGATGACAAATAAAAAAACTTTGACTTTGAAACAAAGCCAGGTCCCCAAAAGGAGAAGTTTTGTTGGAGGGTTAGGTTTAGGACTAAGGTGTGAATTGCAGATGGGTTAGGGTTACGCATGTACTAGTAATGGTTAGGTTTAGGGTAAGGGTCAGGGTTAGACTATAGAAAATGATTGGAAGTCAATGCAAAGTCCCAAAAAAGTATGTTTACAAGAATGTGTGTGTGTGTGTGTATATGTGTGTGTGTGTTTATCATATATGAATATTTACATGTTTTTTTTAACTACTGGCTGTGAAACAAACTGGCCCCAGAAGATAACCAGAACCAGTTATCCAGAACGTGACCGGGTACTACTGATGCCTAGTTGACAGAACATCACTTCAAAAAGGATTAAACATTTTAAACTTAAAGCTCACAAACAGTAATTCAGCTTGTTAAAACTCTGTAAACAGCAACTGTTTCTCCTGATTTCTTCTTGTTTTCTTCCTTAGTCCTGGAGAACCTGGTCCAAAATGAAATGAAATTCAGCTGCATGTTGGCCGGCTCGAGCTGTGGAGTAGACAACAGCTCACAAGAAGGAAAAGTGGTGTCAGAACCTGACTCTGCTGGGACGTCTAATCCTTTGGAAGTGACACATGAGAGATCAGGAACATGGCTGTGACAACATCTAGTTGGATACAATGTAGAATGAAGGACTGAAGGAAAACAATGCTGCTATTCACTGAACCTACATCAGTCATTCTTTGGCTACGTCAAAGTTCGGCTGCAGCGACTTCATTGTGCAACATTTCATGAAGATGAAGATGATCTTATGGTGAACAGGAAGCATTTCCCTCGGAGGGTTGTTTCCTGTTGTAGAGCAACAGAAGTATCATGCGAGCTAAACGGAAGTAGAAAATTCTAAATATTTGTTGTGGCGGTTGCAATGAAACAGGACGTGACGGTTATACTCACAAGCTGTATTACAGTAACTGGGAAAACACCAGTGCATCATGTCATTATCTGTCTGGTATTGTCTGAGCCATAATACAGTCACAGTTGGCAGCAACAAGTAACAACAGAACAGAACATACACGTGTTCACTGTGTAAACCTAAAAACCCAACATATTCTCTTACGTAAATAAATATTCTTGTTCCTTTAAAGCAAAAGTAGTATTGGGATCCATAGCACCACACACACTTTGTAACACGTATCCTGACCTCATTCAGTTGGCAGAAGTACTACTGAATACAAACAGCACTTCTGATTCACAGCCATGCTTATTTTCTCATTTACCACATTCTCAAGTCGACTGGCGTGATTTGGTTGCCCCTGGCGGGCGATATGCAGCCACCTTATCTCAGTTAGAAGGAATGCTTACATCAGCACTGATAAGGCCCCGAGCTGCACATTCACAGCAGCACCCGATAAGGCCCGAGGCCACATATTTTACAGGCTGTGCACTCGCACAAAGCTCTCCATGGAAATTTACCAAGAATTTCTTCATGTTCTGGATTTTATTCATGCAGCTGTTTGATGTTTTGATGCTTGGCCGTATCCCGGTCCCTCTAAATATCTCCACACATTTAGCACCACAATAACAGGCCCAGTAATCACCTCTTTTGTTGTGAGCCAACAAAAAAATGTAAGAGTTCGCCAATCGGTACAGATGTTTGGAAAGGGGCTTTCATAAATCCTCACACACACAGCGAGCTGCCAGAGTGAGAGAAAACCAAGTATCACGTTTCACAATAAAATGCAAATTAATGTGGATTTTTTTTTTCTTTTAAAGGTCACATCAAACCAAGTCTGTCTTTTTTTATGTTCCCAAATCAAGATGTTACAATCGGTGATTTATACTGAAATAAAACTTGTGGACATAAACACAGAGTTAAGTGAAACCTTCATTCCCTGAGGCATTTTATACAGTGAAGCCAGGAGATAAAAATTAAACAACTTTGAACGTTGCTTTGAATTTTTTTTAATGTTGATTTAACATTCACATCGTCACATAGCAGTCCTGTTTCTCTTTATTCTTTGGCTTTTCTTTGCTGTTTATAAGCTAACATTTTGTTATCTTTAGCATTTAACTAGCATTTTGCTTAATTTAACTTTAAGTAAATGTTTTGCTATTTTTAGTTTTAGCTCAAATTTTGTTTGTTTTAGCTAGTATTTTGGTACTTTTAGATTTAAGCTAGCTAGTGTTCTGCTTTTTTTTTTTAACTTTAACAACTAGGCTTCAACTTCTTCAGTAAAGTTTTTCAAAGTGTTTTAGCAGTCGCACTTTTTTTAACAGAAAATGCAATTTCTGACACGTAAACACGTAAAAGTTAAAAATTAGACAACAAAAACTTACCGTATTTTTCACCCTATAAGTCACAGTTTTTTTGCAAAATTTACATGCCCTGCATCTTATTTGCCAAAGCAACATATTCATGGATTCCCCCCCATATTTATAAACCAATTTTTGACTGAGATTTGACAGTTTTCATTCATTCTGACTGGGGGGAAATAAATAAATAAATAAATTAATTAATTAATTTGCACAGTACCATTTTCAGCCACTAGATGACAGCAAAGTAGTAGATGCAGTAGGGCAAGGTGTTGTATCATGTAATAGGTAAATGTGGCTATAATGCCAAATTCAAAAAAGTTCAATACAAAAACAACTGGATTTTATTTATTATACTTTATGTTTTTTTTCTTGAACTTTTTTAAATGTACCATGTCCTGGATGACTGAGAATCTTCACCAGCTATTAATGACTCAAGCGTCTTGCCACAGTCCCTCTTTCGTTCTGCTCGCTGCTTGGAACCGTCAAACTAGCTGCACCCCCCCAGCGAAATGCAGTTCATTTGACCCTTAAAGTGCATTTATTCACACCTTTGCTATAATTTTGAGCAAACAAATTATTGTTTTAGGAGCTTTTCTTGTTAAATTTCGAAGAAACAAGCAGCATTCCTCCCTATTTTTTTCCCTCCCTCTGCGCGCTCCCGGTGCAACAAGGCAGCTTATACAGCTGATTTGACCGTTAAAGTCTTTTTATTAAGCAAAGGTTAGACTGAGACTCACATTTACTATAATTTTGAGCAAACAAATAATTGTTTTAGGGTTAATCTTGTTAAATTCTTGTTAAAGTCCTCCCGTGCACGCTCTCGCGGCCGCTATTTGGCAGCCCATCGATTTTTGGCACAACACCAGCCCACATTTCCGGGTTGTCAGCGGTGACGCATAATAGATGCGACGTATACAGCGAAGCAGCATATTTTTGGATTTTTCCACTTTTTTAGACATATTTGGACTGATGCGACTTATAGGGCGGTGCGACATGTACGGCGGAAAATACGGTATTCAGTTTTTAGCTGGTAAACATGCATGTTTTATCATCTGACAACAGCAGTACTTTTAAATAAAGATACTCAAACTTAGAAACACGAACTAGTGTTTGGAGGATTTCACATAAATAGAACTCCATCGCTGACTCATGTTTTTGCCTTTTAGTCTTTCAGATCTTGTTTTGAGTCACAAAATCATACAAATATTGGGCGTAGTTTCATTCCTGCACAGTTAAGCATGAAATGACATGCAATTTGACAGAAAATAAAACATGTTTTTTTAATCAGGCTTCCATGTTGAAAATGCATTTTGAATTTCAAATCTTGTTCTTCATATTTTCATTTTTGCGGCACAGTTTCAAAATAAAAGACCTGACATGTTTGCAGGATTTCTGGAGGTCTACATTTAACACCTGATCTGGAGTTTTTGGTTGATTAAAGTCTACATGGTTGTCAACCAAAAAGAAACTCATGTTGAATGTAAAACACGTAACAAAAACCAACGACTTTCCTCTGTCTCTTGATATTATAGTTTAATTGTTTTAAATTATTACTACAATAGTGTTGTCCAGCTTTTACATGAGCTTCATGGTAAGACAGTAAATACAAAAAAAGTCCCTTTATGCATACCCCTTCCTTTCTTTTAGACTAAAATTTACTGCACAAACTGAATGAACTTCACTCTAATGCTCACCTCCTTGTCTAAAACTAAATTACAGACCTTAATTAAAGATGACTGAATTATTTGCCATCACAAAAGTAATTCCTCTGTGATTAGGGCGATGCATAAACTGTACAGATTTTCAGCTGACTAAACAACGACAAATTAAAACGTCCTTGAATGAATGCATATTGCTCAGTGCCAGTTCAAAGTTTTAAATTTAAATTATAAGATGATAAAAGTTACCGTGCACATTGACCAGGACATAAAGAACACAGGAGAATATTTGAAAAAAAAAAAAAAAAAAACGGTGTTCTTGCTATTAAAGCAAACTTCAAACTAAGAATAATCTATATTTGGTCAGCTAAATATAATTATACTCAAAAATGTAACTTAACAAACAGAAAACGAACAAAAACCCAATGGCCTGATGGTTTAAGAGTCTTTTGCTCCAGCAGGAAGAGGCCAGCATGTCATCAGGTAATTCAAAAGAAAAAGACAATTAGTGCTCAACATTTTAAAACCACACGGTGTCATTATGGGAGCACTCCATGGCTGATTTGTCAGGGTTGGTGATGAAACCTCAGGAGGCTCAGAGTTGTTCAAGACACTGACTCAAATCAGCGCCCTCTGGTGGTCAGCAGCAGCATCGACACGGTTTCAGTTCATGTCAGCAGTAAAAGTTCAGGAAACACAGAGTGGTCAATTTAATCTGCTCATTCTATCACCACATAATCCACAGACACACTCACTCATCCTTACTCAGAAACATTTCACATTAAACAAAGAATAGAGTACATTACACCTTCACAGCCTTCCTGCTCAAACCTTAAAACAACATTTTGAACAACGCTTGGACTATGTCTGAGGATGACTCTCAGCTACTACCACATCGGAGCTCAACATCTGTTAATCTGACTACCCTAGCAGTTCTCAATGCTTTCTAAAAGTTTATTAAGAGTTGTCCAGTGGTTCATAAGATATTTTGCTAACAGACAAACCCACACACAGAGCAGTCAAACATTATCAACCATTCACTCTCAGCAGCAGGCGAGTAAAAGTAAATAAATAACTCTCATAAACGTTTGGTTTGTGAAAGTGGTCTAGCAAATTCTCTGACCAAATGGTGAGCAGCTCCAGGTGGGAAAGCTCCAGAACAGACGGGCCTTGTGACGCAGAACAGAACCATGAAAGAAGAAGTGAAAGAGGGGAATGGTTCAGCCCCCCCCCCCACCCCCCCACCCCCCAGGCTTCGCATCCACGAGACCACGAACACAGAAGAAGAGACTCCAGTTTATTCGCCCTGACACGATGACCTCGACATGGGGGCACAGAGTTCATGTGGAAACACTAAACAGAACTGGGATTTCAAAAGAGCAAGAAATTCACTTTTTTTTATTGGATTGTAAAAAAAGCTGACCAGAGGTAATCATGATGCAAAGCACGCTCAGTACAGTGTTTTAATGTTTGCCTGAAATTAAAAGTTGTAAAGTTTCATACGTGTGCATGCTGATGCACTCAGATGACGACTCAGTTCATCAACGACAAACAGCTTCATAAATATATTCACAGTTTTCTCTTTTCTGCTTTACTGTGATTTTGATGTTTTTTTTTTTTTTTTTTGCTGTTCAGATATGAGGACTTTGCTATTATAATTTTTTTTTTTTTTTACAAGATATTTAACGTTTTATTTGTAAAACGTTTCCTTGGAAATCCAACAAGGTTGAGTCAGGCCCTCTGGATGGATCCTTCTTTGTTGAAACGTTTCGTCTTTTATCGAAAAGACTGCAACAAAATCTCTTCGGCTCCTTCTCAATCGGTTCTTTTGGAAATCTGCTTCAACAAACTTGTATTTGGTTCTCCGATAGTTTTTAGATAATGTTTCGCTACTTTTATTGTGCGTTATCTACAATTTATTTTAGCTAATAGCTAGCCTTTTGTCACTGTTAGCTAGTCTTTTGCTGATTTTAGCCATTTGTTAGCCTCAAGCTACAATTAGCTATTAGTGAGCCTTTATCTACTGCTGAGGAAACTTCTTTAATATCAAAAAGGACAACACTAGTTTATAAAACAGTCGTTGAATCTGTTATTACTTTCAGCATTTTATCCTGCTACAGCTTTCTCACTGTGAAACACAAAACCAAACTCTTTAGCTATTTATTTTAAAGATGGTGGTCTTTGTTTTTACCAGCGAGCTGCAGGAGCACGGTGCAGCTAATGATGTCTTGTTTTGGGATAAACCAACAGCAGTCAGCCGCTCTCAGTCGTAGAACGTCTGATTCTGCAGCCTGCATGCATGCGAAGCAGCTTTTTTTAAGACTATTGTGCACATTACAAGTGAGTTTTTGCTTTTTAAATCTAAACTTAAACGATTTTGTTGGATAAGATGAGGGGCAAGATTCCACAGAAACATCTGGCTGAGGAAGACACCCCTCTGCTGGGGTGAGGTGACCTGTGGAATCACTAAAGTTCTATCTTATCTTATCTTAACTCCATCTTGGTGGATTTTTACAGAGGCTCTCAAATATAAAAGTGGAGCACCACCTAGAAAGCTAATATAAAAAGTGAAAGTATAGGATAAGAGATAAAAAGAAAAAGCATTACAGAGAGGAATGCTTTATTTTATGATCTGATAAATATAATATACATTTTATATTGAGTGTATTTTAATGTGGACGATTGTTCCCCTCAGGAGCACAGCAGTGCAGTAAAGTTACTGTGAGGTTATGAGAGCGTTTGAAAAATAGCTGACGAAAAAAAAACAAAAAAAAAAAGCAGGATTTATTTTTTATTTTTAAGAATTTGTCAGTAAAAAGTTCATTGACTGCACCGAAATAAATTAATTAATAAAAACACAGAAAAAATAAACGCGAGTCTGATTTCCCACCAAAAGACGATACAAGGGTTAAGAAACCCCAATAGGTGAGCACAGTTTCAATCTGAATTTATTTGCCAAAGAAAAGTGTCAACTGTTTACGTGTCAGGGCTTTCTGTCTGTAGTTTCTGCACCTCCCTGTTGTCTCTTCCTCATGTTTCTGCTCCTGTGCACACCTGTCCTGAATCCCAATCACCCCAGATGTTTCCCACTCCGTCTCATTAGCGTTCTGTATTTAGTCGGTGTCTTTTCACTCCTCTGGTATCCAGACATTATCTCTTCCACAGTGTCATGGTCTGTGTCCGCTCTACTTGTCATCTCCTCCTTGTAAGTAAGTTTTGCTGCCCCGTCAGCGTTTTTCATTTGCAAATTTAAAATAAATTATATTACTTATTTTACCCGGAGTCTCCGTTGCCTTCCTGCACGTGGGTTCAACTCCTTAACCACCAGATCATGTCAACGTGGAGATAAAAAAAAAAAAAAGAATAAAAATGGAGTTTCTGTGGAGCTGCTGGGCGTGTAAAGCAGGGATGAGCTGGTTCAGTTTGTTTGCAAGCCCTCAGCACTGTCCTTGGTTTGGAGCAGGCAAATATTTGCACCTCATGTAATCTTTGTTCAACTACTGTGGAAAAAACACACACACACACACACAAAAAACAGTGTCGTGAACCATGACAAAACATACGGAGAAAACTGTATTTTACCATCAAAATATTTTCTTAACTTGTTAAATAGCAGATAAATGTGGCCAGAACAATATAAACATTCCCTTTAGGGAATGCATATCACCCGCCACTATTCATGCTACAGCTTTACTAAGATTATTTTATGGTAAGAAAGTTGTCGACATTTAAATCAGACTTTGAATGTAACGTTATGGATGAGCTCAGGCTATATCACAAGATTTCACTCGGTGTGTGTGTTGAGTCGCACTCTCAGCTACTAACACGCATACCTTCAGTTCCACATCTGCAAACCTAACTAAATTAAAGATTATCTGGGTTTTTAAGAGTTTAGATAGTGGTGGCAGCCATCATGAAGTGGGATGACCTCAATGGCTACTCAGTTGTAGATGAACATCCGATCATTCATTCATGAACGTTTCATTAAAACCCATGCAACCTGTCACGAGATCATTTAGACACACACAGGCTTTAACATGATCGAACATATTTTGCCTTTCTGTGCCGAGGGATATAAAAAGATTTTCATTAGAGGAATTGTGATGTTTCATAAATGGATAAGACTGGGACTGACAGGTGGGGGTTGTCCTTGAGGTCTGTCATCTCTTATGTTCAACAGCAACAACACTCTGAAGATGTCGGAGAGCCTGGGAACAAAAACATCCAAAGGGATAACACCAATGCCTAAATTAGCAGAGAAGTCACTGATGTGGAAGAGCTTATTAATGTGTGCATGTCACTACCTGTTCAATCAGCGGTCAGTCAGAAGCAGCCGAGGCATTTCGATGTGTCTGGATCTGTCTGTGGTTCTTCATATACATTATGAAGGTGGATCTGTGCAGCCCAAAGCCTCTTAACGCGGCTTGTTTCACGCTTAAAGACGACCACGATTCATCTGTTCAGGGAATCGGGCTGCACCTCAGGACTCTGAGTGCCGGTTCGAACCCTGCGCCCCTCGCAGCCGGCTGCCAGGAACCAGATGTGGCGTGCAGTAAAATGACCGACAATAAATCTTTTAAGTTTGGACCAACTTTTCACAGATGGGTGAAAAAAAAAAATTATTTAGCTGAAATGTTTTGTGTAAATCTCAATAAAGTCTGAAATCAATCAAACAAAGAATGTTTTCATTAACTTTGTCAAACGGTGCAGTTTGAAGAAGTTTAATAATGATGTGCATTTCCAAAATGTGGGTACACACTTGGTATAAACAAAACACTTGGTTGAATCCATCAAAAGCCACAGTAAGTTAAAGTCACGTGACTGACCAACTGGAGACCTGTCCAGGGTGTCCCCCGCTTCTCGCACAGTGACTGTTGGACATGGACACCAGTGTCTCCCAAGACTTGAAAAGGAAGAAGCGGGTAACGATAATGGATGGATGGATAGATGAATATAACGAATGATATAAGAAAAACATATTTACTTTAGCCTAAAAGCTATTACTTTACTAAAAGAAGCTGAATCACTTAAACTGGAATATATTTATTTATTTATTTTGAATATATATTGAGTTATATTGAATACATCCACTGATCCAGCGACCTTCTCGCTGAGAGTAGGCAGCTCTGAGCCTATTGTATATACTGAACAACTTTTTTCCCACTTCAAATGTTTCTTAACGTTCTCACTGGAGTGGTTTGCAGCCGAGTGTGAAGCGACTGGGATGAAAATCAGCACTTCCAAATCTGAGGCCATGGTCCTGAACCAGAAAAGAGTGGATTGTTCTGTTCAGGTCGAGGGTGAGGTTCTGCCTCAAGTGGAGGAGCTCAAGTATCTCGGGGTTTTGTTCACGAGTGAGGGAAGAATGGAGCATGAGATTGACAGATGGATTGGTGCAAGATCTGCAGTATTGCGGACTCTGTACTGGTCCGTTGTGGTGAAGAGAGAGCTGAGCTGTAAGGAAAAGCTCTGTTTACCAGTCAGTCTACGTTCCTACCCTCCCCTATGGTCACGAGCTCTGAGTAGTGACTGAAAGAATGAGATCGTGAATACAGGAGGTTGAAATGAGTTTCCTCTGCAGGGAAGATGGACTCTCCATAGGGTGAGAAGTTTGGTTATTCAGAAGAGACTTGTAGTAGAACCGCTGCTCCTCCACATTGAGAGGAGCCACATGAGGTGGTTCAGGCATCTGGTAAGGATGCTCACTGGACGCCTCCCTAGGGAGGTGCTTCAGACATGTCCGACTGGGAGGAGACCCCGAGGAGAACCCATGACACGCTGGAGAGATTCTCTCTTGGTTGGCCTGGGATATATATATATATATATATATATATATATATATA